AAAGCTGAAGATGAACATACAAGGAAGTTGGGTGCCCTAGTTATGGAAACTGAGAAAAGTGAAGATATATAGCGCATATAATAAAATATCACAAGACCAATATATCTTTTAATTAAATTTTGTGATGGTGATGATTAAACAATGGGTAAAATTTATGAAAGAATAGACAATATGCTTGGTGAAATTAAAGATACTATGAAAGGCGAAAAACATACTGATAAATTTTTCCAGATGAAAAAAATTGTGCTTGACAGATTGGTGAAGATGAATATTCTTATACATTGTTTTGGATTTGCACTTAACCCATGATTTTATGATACTCAATATCTAGCTAAGCTAGCATCGTAGGAAGAACTTAATCAAGACAAGGAGGTGATCATTAGTGTTATGGAAGCATTTGAAAAGATAGCTGAAGATGACCAAGAAACAAAAATATTAAGAGAAGAATATATTAACTTTTTTCATTCGCAAAAAGACCTTTATGCTATGACAGTTTCTCAAACAGATGATGTAATTATAGATGCTGTAGATTGGTGGTCAACATATGGTTCAAAAACTCCAAACTTGGCAGATGTTGCTAAAAAGGTATAAGTTTGACTTTACTATTATTTACCATTATTTATTTGTTTTTATTTTTTCTTTCTATAGATACTATCTCAACCAATAACAAGTTTGTCAGTTGAAAGAAATTAGAGTACATATTCATTCATCTAGAATGTCAAGAGAAATAGGTTGAACTCTACCAGAGCTGACAAGCTAGTATTTATTTATTCCAATATTCGTTTCTAATCATGTTTTACTACAAGTACTAAGATGGACCTTTTAAAAAATGGAGAACCAATCTATAGCATACCCATATAGTCATATAGATGATTCTATTGTACAATGGGAGGACTTGTGGTTGAAATCCTTGGAGGATGACTCTATTAATTTTTCTGCCATGCGACCGAGGAAGCCTGGGAAGTGACATCCCATGCTTCTATCCTCACTTCTATTGTAGGCCCATCAACTAGTTCTAGTAGGCCATCACCCCGACGTACCAGACTACATCAGCCTTAGAAAAGAGTTGAAAATTATGTACTTTGATTCAAATGTTTTTACTATTCAATTATTTTATTTTGAGGACTGTTAATTATTTAAGATTTTTATTTTAATTATCTGTTCATGTAGGAAGCTACTTATTTACTATGTGGTACTTTATTTCTTTTGTTTTAATGATCTTTAAATTTATATTTTTCGTGATTTGATTTTTCTCATAATACAAATATGCAACCATTATTTTTCTTATTGACGATTATTAGATGGTATGTTGTTATAGGTCTTGGATCTTAATTCACGTTGGTTCTTTCAAAATAAATACGAAATAGATATTAATTAATTATGTATGCATATAATTAAAATAATATTAAAAATTGCCACTTGTAGAAATATTAGTTCACCATGTGTCTATAGATGCATACATATATATAATTTATTACAATATTATAAACGAACCAATTAAAATTTCCAAACGAACTACGACTCCAATTAGCTTATCGATTGAATGTACACCTATCGTACCTAGGAAATAACGTACCACAACTGTATCCGTACCGAAGCAATCCGCGAGCCAAGTAATCCTAATCAAACCTCCTTACCAGCTTGGGACAAGTACGCTTCCTTCCACCCTTGAGTCTTCCTCATAACTCTTTCTACTAGGTAGTTGAAGGTCTCCGCTTTAGAACGACCCCAAAAGCAAGGGATACTTACGTACTTTGTGTTTCTCGGGAGGGCTTCAATTTCCAATTTTTCACACAGATAAACTCTTTCATCTGGGGGGTGTTTTTGGAAAATAGCACTCCCAATTTTTGAAAATTTATGAGTTGCCCCGATGCCTCGCAATATGTGGACAAAGTGCTCCTTAGGTGACAATACTCCTATTTGTTGTCCCTCTGGAAAAGAAGGGAGTTGTTGGCGAAAAATAGATGGGATAGAGTAGGGCTTCTTTTTTTAATTCGCATACCAGAGATGCGCCCCTTGTGCAGATATTTGTATGTATGCCTAGATAGAACATCCGCAACTAGGAGGAAGAGATTGGGTCGCCCTGTCGTAGACCCCTTTGCTTAGTGAATTCACATCTAGCAGCCCCATGGATCATCACTTCGAAATTCACCGTAGTAACTCACTGGAGGAGAAGGTTAATCCAAGAAACATTAAAACCCAGCCTCTTCAAGATTGATTCCAGAAAGTCCCACTTGACTATATCATACGCCTTGTTGAGATCTAACTTAATTGCCATCATCTTCTCTTTACCCATTTTAATTTTCAGGGCATGAAAAGCTTCATTTGCAATGAGGATACTGTCCTGGATCGGGTGGTGAGGAACAAAAGCAGCCTGGTTGGGGGTGACCAGATGTCGAAGAATACTTTTCAACCTGTTTGCTTGTACTTTGGAAATGATCTTGTAAAGAAAGTTGAATAGAGCTATGGGGCAGAATTGGGAAATGATTCCGGTGTAGGTTCTTTGGGGATAAGCACTAAAGCTAGTTCTGTTCAACTCCGGAATCATCATGCCTCCTGTGAAAAATTTCTAGACAACTTTACACACTTCCCCCCAAGGATATGCCAATGTTTCTGATAAAAAATACTAGAGAATCCGGCCGGGCCTGGAGCTTTGAGGTCACCCAACTATTTAGTAGCTCTTAGAATTTTGTTTTCAGAAACAGGGTTCAGTAGTCTTGCATTCATATCGCCAGAAACCAAGGGAGGAATTGCTTCTACAACTTCATTAAAATTCTGAACCCTAATAGTTGAGAACAGAGAATTGAAATAATCAGAAATACGGGAGTTTAGGGCTTGATCTTCCATGATCCATTCTCCTTCTGTGGATTTCAGTCTGAGTATCTAGTTTCTGTGCCTTCTTTGGATCGTGGTCAGGTGAAAAAAATTGGTATTTTGGCCAGTTGATCCGTGACTGCTGCATCCAGTACATCTCCTCCCTCTGCATTTTTGTGATCATCGACAGAGACATTTTACATGGAGTATGAAATTCCTTTGTGCTTAGTAAGGAAATATTCTTTAGAAGTTTATTCATGGGCATCTAGATTTCTAGTGTTCTTCACTTCTTCTTCTTCCATGTAAATAAGGACTGAAATGGATATTGATTTTCAATATATGGAGTAGATATTGAATCTAATTGCCATGAGTTATGATGGTGTGCCCCTTGTCTTCTAAGTCTTGTTTTTATTTTTTTATATGCCCTGGCTTCTAATCCAACAGGTCAAAATCTCTAACCCCTGTGTTAGGTGTTCAAGTTTCTGTTGGAGCTTGCAGACCTAGTCTCACTTACATAAAAAAGAAAAAACTAGTCTCTGGCTCGTCTATGGTAGGAATCATTGATTACTAAACCTGAATTTCAGGGATACAAGGTTTCTTCTAATAGCCATGGATGCTGATCTTCAGGTATCTGTTTTCTGCAATCATCTTCAACCTTAAGTTGTTGATGTCAGGATCGAAGGCACTTCAACAATGAAGGTTTGAGAGATACTCAACATATTGACTCCCATAACAACTATTAGCACAAGTGATACCTCTTGGCTCACTTAGAAAAAGCGATGCACGATCCAACCTTTGACCGGGACATAGTTTCTTTTATATTGCTAGCTCTTTAGAAGGAAAAGGAAAATCAGTAGATTTTCTTTCATTAGGAGATCTAGTGTTTCATGACTTCTTTTTGCTGCCAGCCATGCATCTTGATTTTCCAGGTTTCTATACATTGATGGATGGGGTTGGAGCCTAAGATACCGAAAACACCTGTGTCTGTGGGTTGATGATAGAGATAGCCCTTCCTATCATGACCGAGCAATTCCTTTATGTGTAAGGCATTATTTTTAGTCATTATTTTAAGTCATTCCTTAAGGTCCATGAGGCTGATAGGTTTACCAATCTCCCTACATCTTTCTCTACTGGAGACTTTAAAACAATATGGTCAATTGTTTTCATATGGAAGTGTCATTAGGCTGGCATCCTCAGTGTGTTCTTATGGATCAATTCCAAGCGATTTTGTCTGATCGTCGATGCAATTATTAAGGAATTTTAGGCGATGCTTACCAAAAAATGAAATGATATTGATGAATTAGAGCTCAAGGCTCCTAATTTTTGGAATGCATTCCATGATCTTGGGCTTGTTTGTGTCCATGAGCAAGTCTTTTGTTTTCCTTGTGAATAAATAGTTTGCCTCGAAATTGTGTCTTTTCCTTTGTTTTCATGTTACCTTCCCAGCTTGGTTCTTGTTTGGAAAAGTGCTACTTGTAGGACCAAAGACTACATTCAATATGAGGCATTGGGATAGATGATACTAGAAGTGACCAATGATGGTCACAAGCAACCAGAAGATTTCACTTGTGAGATTTAGAATGTTACCAAGGTACAAGGTAGATCCCATATTTAATATTTACTTAATTTGTACTTTCAGTGAGATGTGCCTGATAAAAGTTTGCCAGATATCATTGTGCATTAAATCACTCTTGATGTCTGTTTTTTGGTTAATCAAAAATCTTTATGCATCAGTCTCTGACGACAAAAGTCATATAGCTTTTGCTCTCAACAAAAATTTGTGCCTTTCCGGAAAATATACTGAAGTTGGCTATCTAATGTCTCCCTATGGCATTAAAAAAAACAAGTTCAATGTCTTGAATCCTGGCGCGAAATGTTCTTGGCTATTATAAGTTCATTTTGCTGCTCATTGGCATTCTTTTTCTGACAATATTGATTTAGTTATTAAAGTTTCACAAAAATGAGAATTGTTTTATGAAAGACTGAGCTGGACTGAAGCGGACAATCAGTGCATATTCATCTTTTGCTTGTTATTAATGTTTATATGGTCCAATTATTGCAGTGAAGCACTTTTCTATTTCACACTTCAAGGAACAGCTTTTCGATGGCTCTATAGATATCTGAACTCTGAACTTTTGGGCAGTGCATAGGATATCTGAACTCTGAAGCATCCAAAGACCGCCGCAATGGAAGAACCTAATAATTCTGATTTGGGATGTGATCCAAAACCCCAAGTCCTATATCGTTGCAAAAAATGTCGAAGAATTGTTGCTTCACATGAACATATAGTTCCTCACAAGCGTGGGGAAGGACAAAAATGTTTTAAATGGAGAAAGAGAAGTAATGATCCATTGGAAATGGAGAAAGAGCCACCTGAATGCTCCTCCATATTTGTAGAGCCCATGAAGTGGATGCAATCAGGTTAGTCAAAAAAACCATAACCACCATGTTTTACAATAGTTTATTCTTCTTCCGAACATTTTAATGCGACTCAAACTATGAATTGGCAGTTGAAGAAGGTTGTGTCGGAGATAAGCTTCAGTGCATGGGTTGCAAGGCTCGATTGGGTTCTTTCAACTGGGCGGGAATGCAGTGCAACTGTGGAGCTTGGGTTAACCCTGCATTTCAACTGCACAAAAATCGTATGGATGAATGCAGTCTATGAGCCATGCCATTGTTATTGAATAATTATGTTTAGAAATTTTAGCACTGTGCAAAATCTGTCCTTGGGTTTGCATTGCCTTTAGGCACTAATCACTTTAGTCTAAAGAGTTCAATATGTTTGGATGATTGAATTTTTTGAGAATGAACTCTGATCAGAATGTTAGTTTGATGTAAATCTGCTGATGCACAAGAGGTATTTTCCTTGCATTTCAGGTTTTCATTTGGGTTTTCTTGTACATATAGATTGTAGATCTTCTTTAATACACTTTTCTTGAATTTTCTTCAATGGTAGATTTTTGGTTGTGTTTCGTCGGGGGAGCTAGTTATCAAGAAATTAGTTAACTTTCTAATCAAATCTAAAACAATTGATTTAAACATATACCTACTAATAATAAACAGATCGAATAAATGTTGAACCCGAATAAATTAAAATTGACATGATTTAAACGTTTAATGAGTATTGTTTGAATAAAATATCATAATTGTATCATTTTTTGATTAAATATTCACATGGACCCTGATAAAATAATAGGATTTTATTACTTGTTTTTCTATAAATATATGAATTTAGTTAATTTTTAGTTTATGATCAAATTATTAGTGTGGAGGCATAATATTCTTAGTTTTAGATTTTTGTTTTGCGGGGTTATACATCTCAATCCGAATATAACATGAGAATATACAGGTCAAATCAATATTAATATATTTGACATAATTAAAAAAGACTTAGACTAGAATTAAGTTATTCTCACTTACGAGTTCAAGTTAATACAACAAAAACATGATTTAACATGACATAATTGTCACTCGTATCTAAAATTCATCAAAATAATTTTGTAGAAAGAATGATAAATTTTTAAACATTGACCTTTGTTTAGAGAGAAAAAGAGAGGGTTTGTTTTATTTTAAAGTATAATAAGTTAATTTTTTGGGGGAATTTGTCTTTGTATCTCGAAAGATTAAGCTTTTTTATTTTATTTTATACCCAAAAAATTAAATTTTTTATATTGTACTCTCAAAATATTAAAAATATTATAATTTGACTTTTCCATTTGACTTTTATTACTTATTCCGTAGAAAATAATCTCATTTACGTTGATGAAATAAGTAACAGAAATTAATAAAAAGGGTAACATTGTAATATCTTGAATACATTAAAATTACAATATAAAAAATCTAATCTTTGAAATTATAAAATAAATTTTTTTAAATCTTTTTCATTGAAAACTACAATTCGCCCTAACCCTTTTTTTGCTGGAACTAGCATTAAAATAATCCAATCGGGGGTGTTTGAATGTTGTAAAGCATGAAGCGGCGCCGTTTAAATGGAACAGCAAAATCTGCTGTTCTTTAAACCCGGCGCAGCTCGTATCTCTCTGGTATTCTCTCTCTCTCTCTCTCTCTCTATCTCGATCAAAACCCTAGCGAAGTCTCATGTAAGCCCAGCTCGCTTTACCAAGTTACAAACTTTTTTCCTCTCGTACAGTTATTGCAACGCTTTTCACCAGAAATTCCATACCTTCTTGTGTCCATATACCCTAGTTCCACTAAATAATCGTCGCATCAATTTTCCAATCAACCAAACAAAATCGCTTATGAAAACCCAAAAATCTATTTCCTATTTTGTTCCAAGCCCTAAAATTCGCAGATCCAGCGAGTTTTGGCAATAAATTTTCAGGGAAAATTCTGTTTTTTCTCATCATCCGAACATGGCCAAACAAAATCTCTACTACCCAGTTCAAATTTTGTTCCGAACCCTAAAATTCGCTAACCCAACAACAATTTTCCTGGAATGTCTCTGAACACTGAAATTTTCCGTTATTCAAACATCATCAGACAAAACCCAGAACACCCAACTTGAGTTTTCCTTCAAAACATGGAGAGTTCTCGGCCTTGCAAATATTGCAGGGAGAGAACTATAGTCCCTGATGAAGTCACCGGAAATTTGGTCTGCGAGTCGTGTGGGGGTGTTCAAGAATACGAAAATTACCAAGCTCATGTCGGCGGCATAACAGGCCCTGCCGGCACTTATGTTCGCACTGGCACTGCAGGGTCCGGCAGTGTCTATAATTATAAAGAGACTAAAATCTACGAAGCCAAAAAATTGATCGAGGATTTCATGTTTAGATTAGGAATTTCGGGTCCAAAATCAAATGAGGTCAAAGTTCTTGTAGAGACCATTACTGAGGGAGAGTATGGGACGGGTAATTGGTTTCCGATACTTGTAGGTGCTTGTGCTTATGTTGTAATGAGGAAAGACAATAAAACGTTACCTCTGGTAGAAATCTCGGCAGTAATTGGACGTGAGATTTATGAATTAGGTCGAATGGTTGATCGGGTTGTAAGTTTTGTAGATTTGAAATTGCCTGAGTTTGATATTGTGAATTCGTTTGAACGGGCAATTAGGACTTGCCCGAGTTTTAGTGATGTTTCGGAGGATAAAACGGGAAGGATGGTGAAGCAGGGGATATTTTTGATGAATTGTTTGGTTAAGTGGTTTTTGACGACTGGGAGAAGGCCAATGCCAGTCGTGGTGGCAGTGTTGGTGTTTGTTGCGGAATTGAATCAAGTTGAGGTCAATATTGAGGTCGTGGCGAAGGAATTGCATGTGGCAGTTGTTACATGTCGTTTAAGGTATAAAGAGCTTTTGGAGAGGCTAGTGAGAGTTGCAAAATTGTTGCCATGGGGGAAGGATATTACTGTTAAAAATGTAGTGAAGAATGCACCATTTGTGATTCAGTATATGGAGTTGAAGTCAATGTCTAAGCGTGGTGAGAAGAGGAAGGCTTTGGAGGATGGGGGGTTTGATTTGGATGAGTTGGTTGGTGACTGTTTGAGCAATGAAACTGGATATCGTATTGATAGCTATGGCACAAAAATTGATTCTCAGTATTTTGAGTTAGAACATTCTCCACAATTGAGTGTTGATGATATGGAGAAGTTTAAGATTTCACATGAATGCTTGTACCTGATTTATTCGAAGTTCTTGAATGAGTTTTCCAATGCTAAGTCAACAATAGATGGTAAGGATAATAGAAGGAAAAGGAGTAGAGGGTATGACTTCCTTGAGTGTACAGAGTGGTGGAAAGGCAAATCAGAATTGAGCAAAAAGCTTTTTCTTAAGCAAATTTTGGAGAAAGATGTAGGTTTGAATGCCACGCCACCTTCATTTGATCGTGGATGCTTAGCATATCAAAGGAGAAGAGAAAAGATCAAGGCTGCAAAGCTGCGCATTGAGAAGGTTATGTGTCCATCTAATGCTGGGTGTGATGGGCTTGAACTTGACCATTTGGAATCCACATGCGCTGGGAAGAAAAAGCAAAGAAAAATGCAAGTTGAAATTGATTGGGAAGATTTTATTATTGAAGCCCTGCTGCTTCATCAAGTGAAGGAGGAGGAAATACAGAAAGGACATTATAATGCCTTACTGGACTTGTATGTCTTTGACTCTGGGAGTTGTGAATAAGTGACAAGCTTCAAGCATGGAAGGAGTTAAGCACCATTGGAGGTTTTGGCAGATGTTTGTTTAAACTCTTATACAGAAGAATTTTGACACTTTGTAACTTGACATAAGATTATGTATTTTTGTTACAAAATATTGGATGTGCATAATTATGTATATACTTACTTCTAAATGTCAGCTATTCCTCAAAAATTTTGTTTTCCTTTTATACCCTCAAACAATACAATTAGGTCGATTTTAACTTTCAATGTAAATCAATTAAATTTAAATAACAATGGTTGCTCTGCCTAATATGCAGTGAGCATTCCTACAATGAAACTGTTTGGCTTTCATCTTGATTTTTTTTTGGTTTCGATGAAATATGTTTCTGTATTTTCAGTAAGTCTAAAGCCATCTATTAGGAAAATTTAATCTATGCTATTGTTGCTCTGCTGCCGTATTGCAACCACCCAATGCCATTGCTATTGTTCCTCATAGCTGGTCAAATACTTTAGGTAAAGATATGTTGGCATTTATGCGTTTGTACATATCTTTGCTTTCTGAAATGTATATAATCAAGCAAACCCAAAAATTGATTAATGATTCACTGACTATATTGGTTGAAAGATTGACCGGAGAAGACAGTGCGTTATGAGAATTTCTAAAAGGTTTGTTACATTCCCAATTCGTGTGTTTCGTTCGCCTGCACTTTAAGCCCCTTTTAGAACATTAAACCCCAACATGAAATGAGTCCCGAAGTCTAATTGAATTTTGAAGGTATCAGCTTCCTAGACTGTAGCGCGTTCTCAATGAAAGAATTCAATTGAGATACATGGGCTTTTATATAGGTGTTGATATTTTTATGTTTCATAGTTTTTTTGTTTTGTTTTTTCTTTCTTGAATGTCGTCGTGATATTTGAATTTGTGCTAGGATTGTAAATAGGTTTGTTTTTTAGACAAGGTCTGGTGGCTACCAATAGAAAGATTCAAACAAGTGAATTGTTTCAATTGAATTTGACATGTGCAATTGGCTCAAAAGGAAGCAAAATGCAGTAGTGTTGTCTTTCGAAGTTGTATGAATATGGGTGGAAGACGGCACTCTTAGTAGTTGCTGGTTCATGCGTTTTATTGCCGCAGCGCACTGGTTCAACTCATCAGAAGTAATGTTCTTACAGTTTGCTTGTATTGGTTTTTGTTTCATTGAGTATCTTGGACCAGAGTTAAGGCACCGCACCTAACAAGCCATTGCCAAGAACAAGAAGGACTACGGCTTTGCGCACTGACGCACTTCTGCACCTACGCACTAAAGGCTTACCCTCAGATATTAGCCTTCGGCTTACTATCTGTGTGAAAAATCTGACTCTTTACTACTATAATGAAAGAAGGGAACCCGAACCTACTCCCTCACCACCAGAATCGCCAGCAGACCTTCTCTTCCTAGCAGGCACACTCACTCAAGCGTACCTACGACTACTCGCCTGGCTAACCGTACTGATCAAAGACTAACATAGTGCACTGCCTAGCCAAAGGCAGGGGAATATAGAAGAAGTGCTAGATTGATTGACGTCTTGGAGAAATTAGTTTTTGATGATGTGGTTAAGCCATTGGTTTAAGACTAGACATGTATTGTTGGCCTTAGTTGTTATAGAAATAGTTGCTTTTATTTGCTGATAGTAACCTTAAGTTGGGATAAATAGAAGGGAACAAAGAAATGATACTGGATCAATGGGTTAGGAAAGACTAAGAAACAATTATTATTCTTTCATGGGTAACTTATTCTCCACAGGACCATTCTTTTCTTTTGTCCTATGTGGTTGGGGAAATTTAGTACAACTCACAGATTTCTTTCAATTGCTTGTTCTTAACCCATATGATCACATTTCTTCATTTCTGCACACAGATTTCTTTCAATTGCTTGTTCTTAACCCATATGATCACATTCCTTCATTTCTGCATACAGATCTTTATTACCATTCCCTCTTTATATTATAGAGATGAAAAATAGATAGTGCTTGATACTATTGGGATTTTCTTGACATCTTGTTATTGGAAGTTGTTTGATCATTGTTCATTTGAGTGCTAGAGAAATTAGTTAGTTAGGTGATGTCATAATGCTTGTTTGATAAGACCTCTTTGACATGAACTAATAGATGAACAAGTGGTTGAATGAAGTGTTGTTTGTTCATCTGTTGATGTATATTGCATCTTAATTGTATTCTGCACGCAACAATATATTTAGTGTCGCTCTATAATGGGCAGTATTAATTTCAAAATTCACATGTATGCAGGTGCTAAGGAGAGAGTAGATGATGCTTACAAAGAGAGTAAACCATGCATTGGAAGAATAGATGTGACATTTGATCATTTATAAATACTTTTACCATGTAGCTTGAAATATTTTGTGCTTCTAAAAAAATACAGATGTTATGTTTTTGTGGATATTGAATATTTTATATTTGGCCCTCCCCGAATTTTGCAATGGCGGGAGTCTTCTGCACTGAGCCGTAATTTTTTTGGGATTTTGTTTTGTGTATATGAATAATTTTTGTGCAAATCAGGTTAATTCGTGAAATTAATTGCACATTTATGCATGAATAGGGGATAGGGTAAAACATTGATGCAACATGTTCTCTTTTCTTAAAAATATATCATCTGTGACAGTTGAAGGCCATCAGAGATAACTTTCACAATTTGTGTCTGCACCTTGCTGACACAAATATGGTTCTGCATCAATAATTTTAATGTCACGAGAAATGTCAGATTTGACACTTTTGGTGAGATCAGTTTTGCATTGTTGAGGCAGTTTTTTGGGTAGTGAAAAACTTTTTTTCTTGTAGTTAGCCGCATGATTCAAAAATTCCCAAAATTTATGGGAGTTTAAGAAATTGAAAAGCTATCTTTGATCAATAGGGTGGGCCTCTGTTTTGATAGTCTGTTTGTAACAAGACAGAAGACATGCAATGTTAACAGATATATGTTGTCAATGGGGTGTTCAGTCAAAAGAAAATGATGCAAATGTTCAAGTTCTCAACAAGGTGCAAGTTTTCATTCTAAGATACAAGTCAGAAATGATATGTGTTTTGGCTTTTACTTTCTCTGAATCCCTTCTGAAATATTGATCCCTAGTTAAGCCTTATTAGAGGTAAATTGTTGTGATTAGTCTTTCTAAAGTCCAAAAACTGACTTCCAAAACAATCCATGTGCAACGCACATATGCATCAACTAGTATAGTAAATGTGTTTTACAATATACGTTCCCATTCTATTACCACTAGGGGACATTTTTTCCTCACATGCCTCTCTTTTCTACTATACTCTTTTTAGATTGTTTCTGTTCTTGTAGTTTGGAAGGACTAATCTGTTTTCATGTTCAATATCTACTGCTAAATGACAGAAAAACATCATTTTTTTTGAGTTTATTTGTTTTAGAGATTGCTTTGGCTGACAAGAAACTTGATAATTAAAAAGTTTTGCCACTAGCAGAGGTGCTTGCACTTTCTGATGTAATTTGATTTATGGATCGCGATGTCAATTCAATAGTCATAGAAATGATTTCCTCGTTTCTTTTGAAGTTATGATTTCCTCTTGTGATCAGAGCTAATCCCAGGAGTCGGGACTTTGAAATGTGAATGAAAATGTGGTTTATCTTCCACAAGATTGCTTTATATTTTCGGTATCTTTATGAACCTGTTTTCATCAGTACATTTGATCTAATGCTTACTGAATTTCATGCTAATATACTTCCTTTTGCTCAAGATTGATATTGTTCACCACATATGGAATACTGACCAAATGATTTCCGTGTGCCACACTCACTTAAGAGCAGGTCAAACCTTGAGGATGTGCCTTGATTGTTTTTGGTCTGTAATTCATTCTTAGGATAACACTTCTATTCTTGAATTTGACAAAAGCATGATTTACCTAGACAATTTACTTATCACATGTACCTGACATGCTTGCAAGGTCGAATTAGTTCTCGGTGCTCTCAGGGAAGCAAGTAGCCTATTGTCCATCCCATTTCCAAGGAAAGTTGTATAGTTCCAAGCTTGTGTCTTCTGCCATTGTATCAGCCCTTGCATTGGAAGGTAAAACAGAGCTCCTCAATTTTGATAGATGTGAAAACTGTGTGCGTGTGTGTGCGCTTTTGAAGGGATTGATGCTATTTGATTCTGCCATTATAAGCCTCCTTTTGAGTGTTTCTTTTGTTGGTCTGTTTCCCGGTTATTGATTCTCCTTTCTTTGTGATTCAAGGAGAAAAGGAATTTTTCATTTGGTATGCATCTTGTTCTTTGCGACAGTAATTCAATATGTACTGCTTGTATCAATTTTATGCTTACTAAAACCTCTGATGTCTTGCATCACTGAAGTTCAGTTTATTTCCCAACAGTTTTGGAAACTCCATAATAAAAAGCACTTGGTAGAAGAACATGTAAATATGGAAGACAAAAATACATAGAAATGATCAACTTTGACATAGAACCTTTGTCATGCCTGGTGGACCCTGGACTACTTAATATAGGCTTCTTGTATTACTGACCAGCAGCAAATGCCTCAACCGGAAAAGTCTTGGTGATTCCAGCAAGACTCTTGAAGTGAATCTTTCCGGTGGGTGGGTCATCGATGGTTATCTGGTTGACTGGAGGCCATAGCACGAGCTCCTTGGCCTTGACTCCTTTGAGCTTCTTGATCTGTTTCTTCTCCACATAACCAGTTATTTCAGTGTCGTAACTCACAAGCTTGCTTATCATCTGAAGTTGTGTTCTACTTTCTTCTTTTTGCAGGATCCACATGTACCCGGTGCTCCTCACAAAACCGACCTCGATCACATCAGCGAGAGGGAGCAGTCCCGATGGGAGTCCGAACTCTTCCAGAAGAGCAACTGACATTTTTGTCCCCTCTTGGTGACCCTTCTTGACAATTCCTCCTTCCTTCTCTGCCATGGCTGATAGAACTCTCTCTCTCTAGTTGTTTACTTGATGGTTGGAGATTAGTAGAGCTTTATTTTATACCTTGAGTGAGTGCAAATATGAGACAAATTCAATGAAGAACCAAGGCTAGTAGCTTTGTATTAACCACCAAAATTGATAATATCCTTATTTTTATCGAAGGCCTCATCGTATTGTCATTCCTTTCCTGATAAATGCCGCACTTCACCAAGGAGAAAATAGACTAGTTTGTTTCTGCTAACAGGTAATCACCTTAGGCTGTGTATCGTGTTGCATTTGTCTGCTTTGAAGCCTCTTGTGTTTGTTTTTTTTTTTGCAAATTTTGTTTACATGTGCCTTTCATCTGTCAGTTCTTATGTATTGGGCGTATGACGAAAATTATGACAATTTTGAACACGATACTGTAATCTGATACGAAATGGATAGAAAGTTACTAAGTATGAGGTAAACCTCATAACTAGATTGACTGGCTAAACCCTTCTAATAAATTGGGGCAATACGAACACGACTATATATTATCATATGGCATGAGCTTGCACGTTCGTATTTGAATCTACATGATTCCAAGTGAATTGGAAAGGGAAACAGTTTATCACGAAACATAATTTCATTTCATATGATGCTCCATTAAGTCACCCCCCCCCCCTTCTCTCTCTTATTTTTCTTTTCCTTCACGCCACACCCGAGAATTCCCTAGCTGCACAGTCATGGAAGACGCCAGTGTGATGTGACCACCGGGCAGTAATTGAAGGCTTTGCTTGTATATACTTCATAGCTACAAGCTAGCAGCAATGTATGAGGAACATTCCTGTTGCTTTTCTTGTTGCTTTATGCTGTCTGCAACATGAGCAACCACTCCAGTTCCAGCATTATGAAACCATTCATTCTTCACCTGTGTTAAAATCAACAATCACATTAGAAACACGAATGAGTCAGACAAACATCGGAAAGATGGATAGTTTTCCAGGAATCAATACATGAATGTTGTTGTGGGCAAAGAACGGCCAGAACGCCGAGTGGAAGCTAACGTCGACTTTTTTCCATCCCAGCCGTTGTAAGCCTCTTATCATTTCCTCTGTCGACAAACAGAGTCTGTCATTACTGTTTGTTGAGGGACAACAAATAAAGCATCATCGGATAACAAGTTCCAGTACCTTCCATGATTTCATGATACTCGACTGCATTCTCCGTGTTGGGCATATTTTGAGCTGCCTCCTTTGCTTTGGCTGCTTCGGGACGGAAATGAGGACCCTCAGTGGAAACTGGTGGATGATACTCCACATCTACAACATGTTTGTAACCATCCAAAGATCGCCGAGAGGGCTGCAAATTCAAGTGTGTAAAGAAACATAAAGTCGAGTCCAGATTTGATACATATATCATGGAGTTAATTGGATACAATGAGAGAAACTGTTGTATTGAGCTTTCGAATACCCCATACGCGACAGGTTTAGTAGTTGCATGAGCTTGTACATTTAAGCTTCTACCTAAACGTTTAGTATATACCCACTGACAAAGAGGTCACGGGATGATTCTTAATTTTTAGCCAAAATAATACTCACTACCTTTCTTACACATACAGCAGTACACACAAACACATGAAGACGCACCACAATTAAAAGAATCAATGGGCTCTATTCAGATTACCTCTCAAAGTAACTGAAAAAAAGAACAAAAACTGTTCAACTAGAAGAATGAGATGCTTGGAGGAGTGGATTACGTACACATCGAAACTTAAATAATAGCCCTCCTTAATTCAAAACCTTAGACCTGGACCAAATAAGTTGATTAATAAGGTAGAGAAAACCTAACAGCCCTAATTTAGTCCTTACTCGTTAATTCTCTAACTGATGCTCACATCTAAAACACTGGATGAATGAA